GCCAAAGAAACGTTTCACATATTATGCTGAGGCTCATTTTTCACCGTCTTTTTGCCTAAATGCGATGTCTTTAATACACACTTGAAAAAATAGATTTTTATAGTAAATTAATCTTAAATAGAACTAAATTATAACTAGTTTATTGTAAGTCAGGCAGAGAAAATGAACAGATACAGCGTTCGGCTTATTTGTCGGAAGTCATTGCTGGCGTCATAAGTAATGAAGATGAGCCAAGGAAAACATTTCCCGTTGGTTCTTCTCCTTCTGTAACTGTAAATCTGTAAAGTAATTAGTTATGTGGGTTGCATCACAGGTCTAGCCCTACTTTAAGTGTCCTGCTGCTCTAACAACTATGATTCTCCTTTATCAACCTCGCCCACTTTATTATTTGTCATCCATATAGGTTTTTATATCCGTTTAGGTTTCTACGTATGAAGGTTACTCTTTGTAAGGATGATTAACAGTACGATAAAGCATTGATTAAAGAATAAAAACAGAAATCTCTTCCCATAAGCATCAGTTTAACAATTTGTATATCTATATTAATGCTGCTAGAGGCTTAGGTTGCTGGAGAACCAAAGGATCACTTTTCCTCACTGTTTTATTCTTCTTATATTCTCTATTTCTGCAATATTTATAATTTCAACTCCTAAGTTTATGTTCTCTCTGCTTTTTCTCATCATGGTAGCTTCATCTGGCAACTTTGTTTGCTGTGACATCATCCTGGAGTTGTATTAAACATCCCCACTGAGCCGTAACAAACCAACTTAACTGTTGGTATCTAACATTTTACTATGATTTCTTGAAAGAGTATAGATGCAACCAGTTGTGCTTGAACTTACTTCTTGACCATGTCTCGCTTCTCCAAAATCTTGTAGACCTCAGCCGAAGTCTGTGGACCCTGGAGCTTCTGGCCATTGAGCATCTCCGCCTCCAGCTCGACGATAGACTGGAGAAGTCAACAAAAAAGGTCAAGAAATGTTGCCTTTTTTCCTTCTGTGTCCTGGATGCTAAATCTGGTAGCTAGCTTGTTTAACTTAGCAATAAACTTTTTCTTGTGTATTTCAGTTGGACTGGATTTTCCCCAGACTTACTTTGGACGTTTTGACAAAGGCCTCCGCCACCCTGCGGTTCCTTCCTCCGTAGCAGGTGGTGATCAGGTCCGCCACGCCGCAGCTCTCCAGGAAGGTCCCGGAGCTCACCTCGCCTTTGCAGAACAGCTTGGCGAAGGCCACCATCTCCATCAGCCCCAGCCTGATCACCGCCGCCTTGGTGTTGTCACCAAAACCGAGGCCATCGCAGAACCCGGCGCCTACCGCCACGATGTTCTGAGTCAACATCAGAGACGAGACGTAAGTCGATGAGGCGGAAATCGGTGCTTGTTAGACAGACGTTAACGTGCGCGTACCTTTAAGGCTCCACACAGCTCCACCGTGTCGCTCTCGGGCACAACGGTGATGCGGAAGTTCGGCGTCTGCAGCAGCTCTTTGAACAACTGGCCATGCCTCTCATTTCTGGCCCCTTTATCGGATTCAAGAGGATTTCAAAACAAGACTCAGACTTCTGATACTGTTCCAATATAATTGGCACCATTTCATTTTAAACCACCAAGAGGAAAAAAGGAACAAACCGATGGTAGTTTCACAAAATTTCTCATCCGCCACCTCATTGGCGATGTTGGCCCCCATCAGGACGCTGACCTCGATCTCCAGCTTCTCTCGGATGATATCCGAGATGAGCTTCAGCCCGTCTGGACCCTCATCGACGCCCTGGGGTAGTAGTAGAAGTAAACAACTCAACATCAGAACCTCTGGCCTGGATTCACTCTGTATTTCCCAACTTCATCACGCAATGCACCCAACTTCCCCTTTTTTTGGTCACGAACAGGATCTTACTTTGATGAGGGATATTCCCATGGCTCCATCTGTCACATGAGGCTTCATCTCGTCACAGAGTTTACCGATGAACTGGTGGGGGATCACAAAGATGAGAACCTTCGCCCCCTTCACGGCTTCAGTGATGTCGGGAACAGCAACCTGACGAATCAGCGAGATTCAGATCAGTTCGATAAACGTTGGGAAAGCAGAGGGAGGCAAATGGCTTTAAAACTTCAGTCGTGTAACTTTGGTGTAAAATAGAAGATTTATTTTGGGCTCAGATTATTTTTGTTTTGCTTCAGTACGGGGTAATACCGCCATGCCAACACTTCAGTGGCCATCTTTTAAGATCACATGAAGCATATAAGTTCTTAGTATGTTCACTTTTTTAAATAAAAGCCTACTTTCCATAGATTGGGAAGCAATTTTACAATAAAAGGTGTTTTGCAAACCCCACTTTCAGAACCTCTGGGCAAACTGATCCCTCGTTTATGTTGCAGATTCTTATTTTCTAAGCCGATTCAGCTTTTTCTTTCTCCGTTCACATGGAAAAAGGCCTCAAAATAACAAATGTTACACGAGTCTCAAGTGAAACAAAAAAGAAAACTTTACTAATAAATCAAAGAAAACATTAGCAACCAGGCAAATGCTTAAGATTTTACCTCTGGAACGCATAACATGTCTCCAAAAAAGGGAATTATTTGAAAAACCTTCTGGAATTTTGTTGAAGAAGTGAACTTGTCTCAAGATGAAGAACAAGATTAATGTCAAACTATAAGGTTAATCAAGGGAGCCTCCGCAAAGGTCTGTTAACTTCTGTATACTTAAAGGAATTTATGCAAATATGTGTCTATACAGATACATCTGTAAAAAATATAATAAAAATATTGTTGGAAAAAAAAGAAAACTTTAGCAATTGGAGGCATCCACTTTACACGATCTCAATGCATAGCTGCCAAAAGCTCTAATGAATCGGCAAATGCATGTAGGTATCGGCCAAAAATGTCAGCAGGCCAATCTAGTTTCATTTAACAGTGTGTCAATTTGGTCCTCCTCAATAATTCCTTGTCTTCCTACCAGAAGGCTCTTGTATTCTAGTTTAGCAGTTCCTTCAGATTACTGGTGCTCCAGGGTTTATTACATTTCAATGGTTTGAATTGAGTTGAGCTTTCTGAATGATCAAAAATATTATCTTGTGAACGCATTACTTGACTGTCTTTCTCTTTGAAATGACAAATATTGAATCATAAATAACGATTCGTCAGTGTAGGTTGAGAATCGGTGAGACTGATTTCAAAATAATCTGCATCTGTCTTAAAAAAGACCTCATATGGATCAATCTGAGACTGATTCAAATATGTTGTTTTGCACATTTCCAAAGTTATTCCATCTATGGATAGTGAAGTTCATCACTATTCTCACACTCTGCAGAATCTGTTAGTTCAATCTCTAACGTTTTGCTCTCTCTGCTTTTTCTCATCATGGTAGCTTCATCT